TGGACTGATCTTGATCCCTCTGAACCTGAACTGGACCTGGACTGGTCGTCTCCATCCCTCAGAGTCTGAACCAGACCTGGACTGGTCTCCATCCCTCTGAGTCTGAACTGGACCTGGACTGGTCTTCATCCCTCAGAGTCTGAACCAGACCTGGACTGGTCTTCATCCCTCTGAGTCTGAACCAGACCTGGACTGGTCTTCATCATTCTGAGTCTGAACTGGATCTGGACTGGTCTTCATCTCTCAGAGTGTGAACCGGACCTGGACTGGTCTTCATCCCTCTGAACCTGAACTGGACCTGGACTGGTCGTCTCCATCCCTCAGAGTCTGATCCAGACCTGGACTGGTCTCAATCCCTCTGAGTCTGAACTGGACCTGGACTGGTCTTCATCCCTCAGAGTCTGAACTGGACCTGGACTGGTCTTCATCCCTCAGAGTCTGAACCAGACCTGGACTGGTCTTCAAGGTGAGTCAGTCCTTGCTTTATAACAAACGTGTGATTCTGATTCAAAGCTAAAAACAGTTGCAGGAACAACAAACGTGGTTCTGTCGAGTTCAACTTTGTTTTTTGTTTTTTTTCTCCCAGAAATCAGTTGATGTTTGATCCAGTTAACAACTGGTTTTAGACCATTTAGGTGTTTTATTAAAAATCAGTAGTCAGACCAAGATCTGTGTCTAGATTTTAGTTCTGTGTTTACTCACAGAACAAAAACATGCACGTTAGTCTGATTGGTAACAATGAATTGTCCCTAGGTGAGAGAGAGAGAATGGTTGTTTGTCTCTATTTGTCCCTGTGATGGACTGGAGACCTGTCCAGGTGTCCCCTGCCTCTCGCACAGTGACTGCTGGATATGGACACCAGTGACCCCGTGACTCGAAAAGGAAGAAGCGGGTAAAGATGATGGATGGATGGATGTTTACATCATGATTAAAAAATAAAACTCCTTATAATGTATTTAAAAAATGCAAAGATTTGCAAATCTCTTAAACCCATATTTTATTCACAATAAAACAATAAACATAAATATTTCTACTAAAAACTGTACATCTTTTAGGAAACAACAAAGTCCATGCTCAATAATCCAGCTATCAACATTTTGCAGCCAGGTCATCTGGACAGTTTCTTTTATTTGTGCTGAAACGTTTCGCCTTCGATCCAGAAGGCTTCATCAGTCAAGGAAACACACGACAAAACTGATTCTTCCTCCAACAGCTTACTCCAAAGTGGAACAAACCAGTTCTGCTTGTGATAAGATGGTCTCTTAAAAACTGTTCAGATGACCTGACTGAAAAATGTTGGATTGTATACCTGGATTATTGAGCATGGACTTTGTTGTTTTCAACCAGTTTGACACGACTGTCAACAAGGAAGAGGGCCGGCAATGGAGGAGGGGGCGTACCAAAGAAACCATCTTATCACAAGCACAATCTCAGCACACACAAAAAAAGCAACTGTCCAGATGACCTGACTGAACAATGTTGGATCTTTTAGGAAAATAATAACCTGCTGCTCTCAGCTCAGTAATTATTGTTTTGTTGTTGTTCAGACGTATAGTTTGCACACAGCAGTGGTTTGTCTGAGGCTTACTTTTCAGTCTGTGTTTCTGCCATAGTCACAATACCAGACCAAGTACCTTATCTTGATGTTGGGCTTGAAGCCAGCAGAAATCATTTTACAGAGTCTGCCCACTGCAATGTAGGGGTTTAAGCCCCGCCTACTTGCCCTACACAATCATGGTGTCACATGACTTTGTTTTAAAGCATGGGATAATTTATTCCAGCTGAACACGTTAGAAAAATGAGTTTTAACCTACAGCAAGGTAATAACTACATTTATCTAAAATCAGCAACTGCATTTTTTATCTTTTTAACAAAGGCTATTTCCTGCTCGTTTACTCAGAGGGGGCGGGACTTAAAACATCCTGAAACTGGGAAGCTGGTCCTGATCCTGACTTAACGTCGAGGTTCCACTCATGGGTCTACAGTGGTGCTGAAAGTTTGTGAACTCTTTATAATTTTCTATATTTTTGCATAAAAATGATCTAAAACATCCTCAGATTTTCACACAAGTTCTAAAAGTAGATGAAGAGAACCCAGTTAAACAAATGAGATAAAAATATTATACTTGGTCATTTATTTATTATTATTATATATATTAGTGGTAAAAGTATGTGAACCTCTGCTTTCAGTACCTGGTGTGACACACAGTTCTCCTGATGGTGGACTCATGAACATCAACATTAATGTGAGAGAGACCTTCAGTTGTTAGAAGTTACCCTGGGGTCACCAGTTCAAGCACCACTGTAATATACAGTACCAGTTTTTTGTTTCAAGTGCTGCTTGACATGTTCTGTTGATTTACTGTAGAACCCACGTGCACGCAGACACATGAGACTCCGAGGTGAAAGTAAAGTGAGTATTTAACAAAAACAAAACAAAAAGGCAAAAACTACAGGAGTGAAACGGAGGAAATGATGGAGGAGCAGACAAGACGCTGGGAAGCACAATGCACGGACAAAGGAGGAAACACAAAGACACTGAGTTTATAGGCAGACTAATGAGACAATGACGAACATCTGGGGTGAGTGAGATGTGAGACAGGAGCTGACCACTGGGGAGTTCAGGAAAACACAAGGATCTAAAGAAATAACTGAACAAAATATAGATTCCCACACTGCTATGTGCTGTCGCTCCTACTTCTGCTTTCAAAATAAAACCATTCACTCAGCACTTTCTGGGTCGCTGTTTGTATTGCCCACTGTGCTGCTCTTTTTTTAATTGTTCCATCATGGCCGCTCCAAATCATCCCGTATGTTTTAGTATTCCTGGTATCTAATTGGACCTGGGGTCTGCAACCAGTGGCTCTGGGGCCACATGTGGCTCTTCTGGCCCTCTGCAGCGGCTCATAGAAGCTTCGACCAAAAATATTAACATTTCTAGTCAGAATCATAAAAGAAAGAGCTGATTTCAGAGGTTTTTTTTTATTTTTAATGTGAATACTTGAATGAAATGTCTGACAGAACCATACATGGAGCATGAAGCTATTGGTTAGCCTGTTAGCTACGTCCTCATTACTTCATTAACTTCCATCTTCTGGACTTTAGAGAAGAAAGTTAACAGATGTTTGAGTTTAACTGTTGTTTCCAGTATTTATTGTTGTTTCTGTTTGTTTTAATGTGTTGTGATTTAAATCTTTGTCACGTCATCAGTTTCATGTTCATGTATTTTGTGATTTCCCACATGATATGGAGAAATGAAACATTTCATGGTGCACTGTACAATTCTAAATGACAATAAAGTTTATAGTTATAAAAGTTATTGTATCCATGTTTACCATAGGTTACCCATCATGTTTACCATAGGTTACCCATC